GTACTAAGTATTTCTTTTAATTGAACCGTTGTTGCACAGGAAATTGTTCCTTTTGTATTATATCTTAATCACTTATTACCGTCGATTTTACGTTTGTACTAATAAAGTTTTATTCCATTCCAATCCCTCGTTCATGGTGTGTAACTCTTTTGTTAATAAGTGTACTTTTATTTTACTTATTAGTTTACCTAGAACATCACTAATATTTACAAAACATTGCTTTAAGAATTGAATATAATTTCAGGTGTAGAGAATATATTGACGACTTCTTTCTTAATTACAATTTCATAAAATCCAAGTGTAAGCATCAGGGCTGTGGAGTCGGAGTCGGAGGCGTCAAAAATCCGCCGACCCCAACTCCTTTTTACTTCCCAACTTGTTATGTATATAAAACGGAAAAGTATTGGAATCGTGTCAAATTTGACCCTCCAAGTGTTTTGCAAAACTACAAGTTTGGAGACCTCCCAAACTTAAAAAAAATGTCAATTAAAGGGGAAAAATCCGCGCGCGTATCTGTGTTGGTGTCTAATTTGTTTAATTTCTTTATTCTCTGTTTTGAGATATTAAACAATATCTCAGAATGGGTAAGGTTTAAGAAACGAAATTTGGCACTGTAGCTTGAGTATAAAGGGGCATTAATGCTATTAAAATTTGGTTCTTAATTAAAGGTCGACAGGGTGAAGACATAGAAGGGGTCATGTGTCATATCTCCAGTGCGGTCGAACTTAATGAATATTTTACTCGTTATTAGCGTCCACAATTTAAAAAATAAATAAATAAATAAAATTCGTCTCTACCCTCAAAATTAACCTTTTTGTCATTTTACAATATTACAGTAAAAACCCGTTAAGATGTTCTCGCCTAAGATATTAGAATGTATATGGGGGCACGATTTAGTTCAACCACTTTGAAGCTTAATAACTCCTGTGCAGGGGCGCCGCTAGCTGTTTTAACGCCCGAGTGCAATACCGATTATGCCGCCCCCTGTTTAACTACGACTACCTACGCCGAAGTTGCCAGAAAGGCTCTTTAGTGTTGTCTCATAAGAGTGTGAAAAAAGAAAAGAAATACTTTACAGATAAAAACTATTTATTATTACTAAGTTATTTTTGTTTACTTAAGTGTAAAACCATATAAATATTTATCTACAGAAATTGAACTCTTCTTGCCTTTATGTTTGCGAAACCTGCTATCAATTTTTTGTATCCAAGCTGTCTAAGATTTCGTGCTCAATTGAAACTATAGCTAAATTACTTAGTCTTTGCTGGTGCATTGTTGATCTTAACTAGTTTTTTTTTAATTTTTAACTTTGAAAAGGACCTTTCACCAAATGCAACTGAAACGGCAATGTAAGTAATATTCTTAGTGCTATTGGTGTATTCGGAAATGTTGAAATTAAGTCATCAGTAAAAAGGGTACTTGGCCTTTCGGGCACCGCCGGATGGTTCAACCTGCCGACAGACATTTCGCATTGCATCTTAATTCTGATAAATGCCAATAGAAACGCTGTTAAGCTATAATATAAATAAGAATATAGTAATTGCGCTCCGGTCAAATTTTTTTTCCTCCATGCGAAGTCATTTCTTATGCTATAAGTAGGGTGGGTATTATGACAATGACTTTGAATAATTCGTGACTGATCGCTCGATTTGCCGCTCCCTGGACGTGCCGCTTGCGTGCGGTGCACGCCTTGCACGCCCGCTTAAGGCGGGCCCGATCCTGTGTTAAACCATCCGACTCCGATTTATAAACCACAGGCTATTAGGCTTCAAACAGGGTGAAAAAAATCGTGCCATCCACACACAATCTAACATCCATACATACAGGAAAAAACCGGATCTTTTACATATCTCGACATTTCAAAGTGTCCTGAGTCCAAAAATGTAAACATTTGAGAGGGGTCCTTTTTCCGGATCGCCATATTTTCCCTCTGTACAACAGCCGGAAAAGTANGAGAGTTGGTTGCGAGCTGGGGATCAGAAGCCACAGTGCGAGCGAGCGGATACGGATTTCCCGAGAAGACAAAGAGATCACCCCAGGAAGGCACGAAAGAAACTTGGGACTTAACTTCCCGACGAAGACCTCCGACCATCCAACCTCCAAGCCTCTACTTACGAACCGGAAGAAGAGGACTCTCTCCTTCGTTGTGTGGTGTCGTCCGCTCTCCGAGGACCCATCGAACTGTTCGGCGAGCCTTTCGACTGCCGACGAGGCCGACAAGTGTTACTATTGTAAGCATGTTTTCTAATCCGAATAAACGCGTTGGCTTAAATAATACGGTCTCTGTGTGAGTCTTTGCGTCCAGCAAACCGCGACCCCCATACGGAAAAGGCTTTCTCGTGTCATCCTGACAGATCACGGGTAAAGCGAGGGTCGTACCCTTTTCACCCCCCTTAAGGGCTCACATCACTACAGTGGTGTCTCCAAACACACAAGGGCTCCCTAGAACCCCACACTCCTAAAACTCCACACTTTTGTATTATATCTTAATCACTTATTACCGTCGATTTTACGTTTGTACTAATAAAGTTTTATTCCATTCCAATCCCTCGTTCATGGTGTGTAACTCTTTTGTTAATAAGTGTACTTTTATTTTACTTATTAGTTTACCTAGAACATCACTAATATTTACAAAACATTGCTTTAAGAATTGAATATAATTTCAGGTGTAGAGAATATATTGACGACTTCTTTCTTAATTACAATTTCATAAAATCCAAGTGTAAGCATCAGGGCTGTGGAGTCGGAGTCGGAGGCGTCAAAAATCCGCCGACCCCAACTCCTTTTTACTTCCCAACTTGTTATGTATATAAAACGGAAAAGTATTGGAATCGTGTCAAATTTGACCCTCCAAGTGTTTTGCAAAACTACAAGTTTGGAGACCTCCCAAACTTAAAAAAAATGTCAATTAAAGGGGAAAAATCCGCGCGCGTATCTGTGTTGGTGTCTAATTTGTTTAATTTCTTTATTCTCTGTTTTGAGATATTAAACAATATCTCAGAATGGGTAAGGTTTAAGAAACGAAATTTGGCACTGTAGCTTGAGTATAAAGGGGCATTAATGCTATTAAAATTTGGTTCTTAATTAAAGGTCGACAGGGTGAAGACATAGAAGGGGTCATGTGTCATATCTCCAGTGCGGTCGAACTTAATGAATATTTTACTCGTTATTAGCGTCCACAATTTAAAAAATAAATAAATAAATAAAATTCGTCTCTACCCTCAAAATTAACCTTTTTGTCATTTTACAATATTACAGTAAAAACCCGTTAAGATGTTCTCGCCTAAGATATTAGAATGTATATGGGGGCACGATTTAGTTCAACCACTTTGAAACTTAATAACTCCTGTGCAGGGGCGCCGCTAGCTGTTTTAACGCCCGAGTGCAATACCGATTATGCCGCCCCCTGTTTAACTACGACTACCTACGCCGAAGTTGCCAGAAAGGCTCTTTAGTGTTGTCTCATAAGAGTGTGAAAAAAGAAAAGAAATACTTTACAGATAAAAACTATTTATTATTACTAAGTTATTTTTGTTTACTTAAGTGTAAAACCATATAAATATTTATCTACAGAAATTGAACTCTTCTTGCCTTTATGTTTGCGAAACCTGCTATCAATTTTTTGTATCCAAGCTGTCTAAGATTTCGTGCTCAATTGAAACTATAGCTAAATTACTTAGTCTTTGCTGGTGCATTGTTGATCTTAACTAGTTTTTTTATAATTTTTAACTTTGAAAAGGACCTTTCACCAAATGCAACTGAAACGGCAATGTAAGTAATATTCTTAGTGCTATTGGTGTATTCGGAAATGTTGAAATTAAGTCATCAGTAAAAAGGGTACTTGGCCTTTTGGGCACCGCCGGATGGTTCAACCTGCCGACAGACATTTCGCATTGCATCTTAATTCTGATAAATGCCAATAGAAACGCTGTTAAGCTATAATATAAATAAGAATATAGTAATTGCGCTCCGGTCAAATTTTTTTTCCTCCATGCGAAGTCATTTCTTATGCTATAAGTAGGGTGGGTATTATGACAATGACTTTGAATAATTCGTGACTGATCGCTCGATTTGCCGCTCCCTGGACGTGCCGCTTGCGTGCGGTGCACGCCTTGCACGCCCGCTTAAGGCGGGCCCGATCCTGTGTTAAACCATCCGACTCCGATTTATAAACCACAGGCTATTAGGCTTCAAACAGGGTGAAAAAAATCGTGCCATCCACACACAATCTAACATCCATACATACAGGAAAAAACCGGATCTTTTACATATCTCGACATTTCAAAGTGTCCTGAGTCCAAAAATGTAAACATTTGAGAGGGGTCCTTTTTCCGGATCGCCATATTTTCCCTCTGTACAACAGCCGGAAAAGTAAAAATACAATATCTTAAAAGTTTAATTAGTATTTTCAATTGGTGTCTAATTGACCAATGAAATTGTGCCATTTCGTACTATCCGAGTACTGTATCGTGATATATGACAATAGTAGGCTAAAACCAAATTTTTAGCCTATTATAGTAGTAGGCTAAAAATTTAGGGTAAAACCAAATAGTAGGCTAAAACCAAAAAACCTAATAACCAAATTTTTAAATGTGTTAGATTGGTCACTCGGTGTGATAAACCCTTACGCAAGATAATCCTCGTAGTTATATAAATCAAATACTATAATAGAAGAGTTAGAAGTACGAAATAATCGAATAATCTTAATTTTTGCTGATGTTATTTTTTGCCCGGGTAACGCCAGGATTAGCTGCTAGTGGTTTTATATAATGGAAATTCAATATAGATTATTCATTTAATTCGTTATAACTAATTTACAGAGATTTAAGTGGAAAAAATTATATATATATATACGTTGTCAAATATTAAATGTTATTAATCAAGTAGGTTTGCTTTTAATGCGTTTTAAATGAATTAAAACCGAAATATTGAATCAAATTATTTAATATTTTTGAAAATTTCTAACAAAGATAACATTGAATTTAATATGAAAATCTTACCGAATTTGCTGAACTTCAGAATTATTACTAGTTTGAACTCTATTGGCAATAACGCAGACAATATTAAGAAGAATAACTGAATTTATCTATAATAAATAACATTAAAATAAAAAATATGGACATTTCAATTATCTTCGATTTAATTTTATATTAATGATTTTATTTCTCTTAATAAAAATATAAATTTTTAGAACAGAGATAACTCTCGTATAACATGGTAATATGAAATCTAGTGTAGTGATAAAACAGGTACGAGAAAGAGGGTTATGTACATAATTTTATTTGTACAATGATCAGAAACGTAATTTATATTTTAAATATTTACTATTTTTAATATAGATTACATTTCTGATAGTTATTAAGACTAAATCAAATGGCTTACAAACTGTGCTATGTTCACTTAATTTTCTTCCTCTTCATAGCTGCTAAACACAATCAAAGGAAGCATTTCCTCTTTTGTATAATATTTTCACCTCTTGTAACATCTAATGTAACATCTATTCTCTTTAAAAATTCATTAATCTTTGTTTGGTTTTATTTATAAATTACATGGTATGGAGTTAAACATTTCTGAAGGTCTCTTTGACCTTTATACTCTTTTCAGTCGAAATATCTGCATTCAGAAAGTGCATTCAGAAAATGTATTAAAGTAATTAATGCTCAAAGCGAATTCTGGGACATCAAGGTCCCCAGAATTTGCCTTGAGCATTAATTACCTTAGAATTACTTTAGTTATCCAACCTTACCAACTGATTGATATCTGTCCACGAGTACTGCAGACTATAAGCACTGACCCTGGATAGCACAGTTTAAAATCCCGAATTTCCAAATTCTACAATAAAGTCATTTCACTTTCTGAATGCAGATATTTCAACTGAAAAGAGTATAAAGACCACAGAATTATTACCCCAGATACAGTACGTCACTCTAAACTGATTTGGTTACTCCTGATGCCATTTCATACTGTTTCCTACCAATAGATCTGGAACGTTTCCAGCAATCATGGCATCAAAAGCTTAAAAATATTGGTGCCGTGGGAAGTTAACCGTAATTATCAAACTGTTGTAGAATTAGTGTTATACGGGGGTTATCTGCATATAACAATCATATAATATATTTGTTATATGCTAGAATGTTTCTTTGTCTAGAAAAACGTATACCGATAACACATAGAAATATCTTTTGTATTACATTCCAAAATGCACTATTTCTTATAAGATAATTTAAATATAAATTAATTTAACTATATCCACATACACGCGAAACAAATAATATTATTTTTAAAAGGTTTAGGCCTATATTAATAGCTTTCCTACACAAATTATTATAATAAACAGCAAATTATGAAATTACTGCATAAATATATAATCAACATAGTTTTTTAGGTTATTTTAAAAATTTTAACTAAAAAAAAATCCAACATACCAGAACTATAAGCATCCTTGGACCTTCTAAGATCCAGAAAAATGGACTTAAAGAATAACCCCACCAACATCTGTGGATAATAATTACAATTAATTTTATATTTGTACACATCTTATATAATATGAAATAAAAAATAATATGTATAATTACTGTGTATTTGTGTATCTGGTAATCATAACAGTTGCCCAAATAATCACTAATATGGTTGGTACACCTGAAATAAATTTAAATATAATTTAAGCGTAAAATAACAATTATAAAATTAATTAAACATTTGATAATATTACAATAAGATATTTTTATAATTTATTTTTCAAGAACTATTTTAATAAAATAATCTTTAAAAAATGCTAGCAAGACCGATTGCTATTTGTAAGTATAAAACAACCGCTCGACCAGTAAACAATATAAAAATTCTTATTAAAATAATTTCTACACGTGTAATAAAGTATACAAAATTTTTCTCAAAAAATGATCGCAATTAGGCTATATTATAGAGTTCCTTAGAGTTCTAAAAAAAAAATATTATTCCTAACATCTAAAATTAATACAGTGGGTGATCGGTTAACGAACATAATCCGTTCCAAGACTTTGTTCGCTATCCGAATTGTTCGTTAACCGATTATCGATTTACCATAGGTTTCTATGGGAATTTTGATTTATTGGTTCTGGAGACCCCCCAAAATAAAAAAATATATACTTTCTTACTACCTTTATTTATATGTATTGATGATAAAAATACATACATACATAGTCTTGCGTTTTTATTAGTCGTGTTTTTTTTCTGTTTGAAAGCGTTAAAGAATCTGTCTAATGTCGATTGCTTTTCTCTCTTCTTCAGGATTTTTCGTAAGTAATTAATAGCATTGCAATTGCAGAAATCCCCAAGCCTGGGGATTTCTGCAATTGTGGTTTGGATGCCATTCTAACCTGTTTGGATGCCATTCTAAGACCGTCGTTCTGACATCCTCCCACTTCTTCAAAGGATCTTTAATATAAGATATCGGCATTAATCCTCTTTTTCAGAAGAAAACATATCTCGCCGAGTTTCTAGGTGTTCTTCATTCAAGAGTTCTTGGCGTTCTTCTGTCGTCAGATCCATTTCGTGTTCCATTATGAACTGTTCGATATTCTTTATTTCTCAGATGTGATTTTTGTTACTCCTTTAGCTGCTTGAGTCTTCTTGATTATACAGTATGTTTCTTAAATAAGATTGAACTTCAGCCTACTGTAGACCTGTTTA